GGAGACGAAGGCAAGTCTGCGTTTCATGCTAGCTTAGCGCTACGTCAGCAGCATTTTTTTGCTAGCGTGGCTGTATTGCACGCCACTAGATTCGCGCTACGTCAGTTCCGACGGGGTTGAGGTGGAATGAAGGACATTTCTGTAGGCGGGGCGCTCGGTTCTGTTGACAGGGCGGAGCGCTCTACTTGTATAACGGTAGGGGAAACACTAGGATTAGCGTTTTCGCTAACTTTGGAGATCGTTAGCGAACCAATTAGCTTCCGCTAAATTGGGTTGTGCTAACTTTAAGTCCGCTAACGAAATTCACACGTTTGTTCCCGTCTGTTGTGGGCGTGTCTCGAAGAGTCCGTGCACGTGTGACGGGACGTGATTGGTCGACGCAGCAGCTAGCTGAACAGCATAGCACAAACGTTTTCTCCGATGTGTTAAACTTCTGTTTTTATGTCGTTTATCCCAAATTAAAACAGCTTTCCTCTCACACCTGTGGCGCGGCATGCTTTCATCACGAGCGTTGTGTGTGCGGTGTCAACTGGACGAACACGTGATGCAGACTGAGCGCCTTAGCGGTTAGCATTAGCTTCTGCTTTTTTTTTTTACCCGTTTAGCAAGTTTTTTAATTAATTTATTTATTTTTTGTTAGCAGATTATGTTTTAGCTAAGCTAATGTTTTGGTTAGCAGTGCCCACCGCTGCTGAATTACGTAAAGCTTTCTGTCATCATAAGTTGTTTTTAATGAGCTAAAGAAAATAAATAATATTGTAGTTGTTTCAGGGAATCCTATTTTTCAATCACTGTGTTCTCCAGTTCAGCTTAAATGTAAATAACTGGAACTTTTTACATCCGCAGCCGTGATTAAACGTACATGTTTTATTTGTACAACCACAATAGTCAAAAATCGACCCATTTTTCTGCAGACTTGTTGTAGATCTGGACGATTCAGACCTCAAGTTGGGATCTTCTTACCAACTTTATGATCATTTCTTATTAGACTAACCTGAATAAACTAATTTCTGCTGGATCATCTTCAAAGAAGAGCAATGACACTTCATAGGAAAACATGATTATTTATATTTTAACCATCCCTTTAACGTCTGAACTCCTCGTTCCGAAGAAGAAACCGTACGGACGACGAGCTCTGAGTGAAATATGCTGCCGAAGCTTGGACGAACATCTGGAAGTGCTAAAACTCTGATGACTGCAGCAGAATCCCCCAGCAGCCAATCACAGCCTCACTTCCTGGAAGCCCTCAGCCAATCGGGAAGCTCGGCTGAAGGAGTGGGCGGTCCGGAGTTTCAGGGAAAGTAGAGGAAAAGAAGAAGGGAGCAGAAAAGTTATTATGAAAATAATTCTCAGGGTTTGGACATGAAGAGAAAGAAGTCTCGTTTTTAGATTCAAAGTGAATCAACCTGAACTGGTTTGTAGTTTGGGCTGCGAAGAGGAGAAGAGGAGGAGGTAGGAAATGGAAAAATCTCTTTACAAAGAAATGTCGCATCTTTTCCTTTTCTTCATTTTCTTTAGTTAATGTTGAAAATGTGGAAACAAGACGTTTAAGATCCATAAGTCCACCAGCTGTGATTCTTCTTGTTGCATCCTGAACGTAACGCTCACCTGACGGTTAGTTTATTATCAGAGGGTTCTCACTTCCTGTCATTGTTTGTAAATGCTGCTCATTTCCTTTGTCTTCTAGAATTCAACAAATTGCTCTAAACTTTAGTGAAACGTAGCACGAAGAGATGAGCTGGCAGCTGACTGACGATGATTCATCGTGGAAAAGCTCCTTCTGAGCCGGACGCTCCCGTCTGTTTACATACATGGGGGGGTACACCCCCCGGCACGAGTCGACCCCGTTAGTTTTTATCCACTTGAACCGTTTGAACACGCGTAGATAAATTAAACGTTCACATCATCGAGGTTGTTGTTTTAATCCAGCAGAATAAAGTCAGTCATTTTAATCATAACTTATAAAACTGAAGAGTACATGTATCTACAAACAAATGTAGTGGATTAAATGTTTATTTTACTTTGAATATTCTGACTGACGTCAATTAAAAGAGACATACTCATAAATAATAATAACAAGCAACGGTTAGCATCAAACAGTAAAACTTTATTTCAGCTTTTTTCTAGTTCATCTAAACTTATTAATATAAACAACAACAGGAAATTGTCCGTGTTCGTTTTTCTACGGTAACTAATGTCTTTTATGATTGTTTAAATTGTTCAAGTGTTTGTCGTTTGATTACCGTAATTGCCGGACTATTGAGTGCACCCGAATTTAAGCCACGCCCACTAAATAAACAAACTGTACATATTTAGGCCACAAAACAAAAAACACAGATGAGGTTAAATATAACAATATTAAATCGTATAAAAAGCACATAACATGAAAATAGAAGAAATTATATACAAACAAAACAAAAACAGCTACATTATAAAATACTAACAAAAAATACTAACTTATAAAATACCATATATGATTATAATAATATTTACAAAATAACTATTACAGCTATAAAACACGTGTCCACGTTTGAGATATTTACACAGAATTAATTTCTAAACGTTTAATTAAATACGTACAGGTAACACAAATACATACAGTATTTTTGTTCTGAACAGTGCCTTTAGCACAGCTGGTTAAAAAAATAAATAAATAGAGTAGCCAACAGGAAACACCAGGCTTACGTGCAGCGGCTCTGTCTCGTTCTTCAACACCTTTAATGTGAACGCTGCATCGTCTGCAGTTCTTCCTGTGTTTTCCATGATGAAGGTGCATGAAGCACAAAACAACTGATCTGAAGGATTTAGTGAGTCTGTTTGATTTACGGTAATTCAAAGTTTCATTGGTTCGACTGTGACCTGGTCAGTAATTTAATTGGTCAGATTTATTTATTTATTTTTACCTTTATTTATACAGGTAGTCTCATTGAGTCACAAGGACCCACCCCCCAAGAGAGACGTGTGTTGGGCAGCCATGTGAGCGCCCGGGTGTGATGAGGCTAAATGTTTTGGCGGCATGAAGCTCATTAGTCCGTCATCTTGGTTGATTTCACCACTTGCTCTCGCTGAGGTCGGACGCTTCCCCCCTCCCTCCCTCTGCTTTGCTTTGCTGCTCTGTCTCTCTGTGAAACTGCTCTGAGCCTCTCTTGCATCTTCAGAACCATAATTATGGACTTGATTTGACCAGTTGGTCCCTCAACTCAATTTACAACATTTCAGGCTTTAGGCGAGCCGATTTGCCTTGTTGGTACGTACGCAGCTGGATATCTCATCGACTTGAAGACTTGATGATGTGTCTATCTCTGCTGCCATCTGTGGATTTTAAGGACACATATTTAGTTGGATTTACAATAACTGGTTCTTGCTTTTTGGATTCGGCTGGTTGCTGGTTTTATCTACAATCAAGGAAGTCGTCGGCAGCAAATTTGAACCCGATCACGCTGCTTGCCTTTATGATGGTTTGGTTCGTGCCTCGAGTACCCAGACTCAAATGCTTTGTGCAGAATGGATCAGCTCTCGGGGATTTTACTCGGGCACGTTCCATCGGTGTGGCCATGTAATTTGGACATTTCAGAACCGTTTGGATCAACACAGACTCAAGGTAGATGTCATTAAGTTCTGCCTGTCCCCAAAACAACTGTGTGTTTATCTGAATTTGGCTCCCTTGGCTGGCCTTGAAGGTCATCTTATCTAAATTTGCCTGGAGAACATGTGATCTGACGCTCACCACCCCCTCCCTGAGGAATTTCCAACTGATCAACAAGAGGAAACCAGCTGAATAAACTTGTCATCATTTCAGGACTCTTGGATTCCCATAGGGGTTGTCCTTGGTCATTCTTCGACATACCTTGAGAATGTTTATGGATCTCACCGGAGGACACTGGCTGATTATTACATCCTTATCAGAACTCTTACAGTGCCCTCGAAAGCGTCCATGGACATTGCTCACCGCTCTTGTCGTCTCCCCCCTCTGCAGAATGTCTACGTCACTATGTGCTTGTTTGTGCGAGGTGTTTTTTAATATCAGAGTTTTTCTTCTCAGCCAAGAAGAAAAACTAATAGGAATTTTTTTTGCCTCCAATTCCTACATGTGTCCAGTTTCACTACTTTTTGTCTAAACAGATCTCACTTGTAAATGAGTCTTCTAGGCTCAACATGACTTATCTAAATAAAGGTTGAATGAATGAATGAAAAATAAAAATCCATAAATTAGCCGCAGCATTGTATAAGAGTGAAACAAAGTTTTGGCTTATAGTCCGGAGATTACGGTAGTTTGTGACTTGTGTAACTCATTCATGACGTGTGCGGTTTACCTTCACCCAGCTCCCTCTTACAACAGAGATCTTCATCTCCACGGGGTTTAAATCTCCACAGGGGACCCCGAGTACACAGTTTTGTTCCACCTCGTGTACCACATGTGACGCGAATGACAATAAAACAAACTTGAACTTAAAATCTGTTTAAATACAGGAAATTAAAGTAGTTTTTCTCGGAGGAATGCAAATCGCCCGCTGACGTGCAGGCCGATAACTTAGGCAATCTGTTAGTGCTCAGATTTTGAAGACGACTCTCAGCTACTACCACAGCGAACTTTAGCTCAGTGTCTGTAAAACCGACAGTTTTAGCCGTTTTTCTGTTTGCTCGTTTTGATTAGCGGAGGCTTCCATCTTGATTTGGATCGACTGACACGTTCTCAGCTGTAGATGTTCATCCGCTGATTACCTTCTACAAGTTCATTCAAATCACTCGAGTGGTTTTCGAAGTATTTTGCTGACAAACAAAAGTTTTACACAACTGCTACACTTTTTTTCCTCTGCCGCGTCGTGACTCGCCAGCAGCTTTGATTTATTTGTTTTTTATCTAAATGAGTGATTTATTTCTGCTCCACACCATCGTCTCCCTCCGGTTTTATAATCTGATGGGTCTTTGCGTCGTGTCCTGCAGAGACTGAGCAGCTGAAGAGCGTCGGTTTTTAAAGACTCCTTTCTTCTTCCTCCCAGGTCGCCCTGACAGACGCAAGCCGGAGCATCGCCACAGGTAGGAGACCTTCACCTCCTCTGCTGCGTTCAGGGACAGTCTGTGTTTTATTATTCCCACGTGAACAGAACAGTTTGATGTTAGCTGACAGGCCGAGGCTTTCTGCTCTTAAAACTCTAGTTTTTAGTAAATTTATGTTTTTTTATAGCATCGCAGAGTAAAATAATTACTTCTTGAGCTCACTGGAAACATTTTTATGAAGTATGCTGCCGTTTTCCTTCTGTCCTCACAGACCTGCAGGGTCTGGACTTCGGTTCTCGCACACCCTGCAGGTATTTAGTGTGTTGGCTGGTTGTCATGGCGACCGGCGGTCTCTGTGGAGTTTATTCATCTTCAGTGTGTGAGATTGAACGCCGACTGAAGGATGGTTCAGAAAGCTCTGGAGCCTCCCCTGCCATGTTTGTTTACTCCTCTTTTACTGTGTGACGTTTAAACCGCGGAGATGAGTTTCAGATTTTAACTTCAGCCAAACGTTTAAAAACTGTCAACAATGGACGCCTTGAGAGAACTCACCCTCCACAGATCAAAACCTAAACTTGAGCATAAAGATGTCGGTGGCGGGCGTTAGCTGGAGGTTGGACCCAAACATGCAGACTGGCTTAAGGAGTAAAAAAACCCACTAAAAACTTTATTTAAACAAAGCAAGACGTTGATCAGGGAGGAAGAAAACTTACAGAACATGAGAGGACACTGAACGATAAGGAACTCGACCGAGGAACGAGAGAATATTTATTCTGATGAGGAAGTGGAGACACCTGGGCTGAATGAAGACTGGGAGCAGGTGAGAGTGGGCGGAGCCAAAGCAGAGGAAGGAAAACGGACTGAATGAGAAGTGACAGTCGAGATTCAACTCGTCTGCTGGATTCCTTAGATGGAGAACTTTACTAATTGTCTTTGATGTGAATGTTCCTGTAAAGTCCCTGAGACAACTTTGTTGTGATTTGATGCTTTATAAATAAACTGAACTGGAATGAAGTGAAGTGACTCAGAGGAAACGAATGTAGTAACCAAAGGAGGAAATAAAACCATGAACACAAATATCCATCCATCATCCATCCATCCATCCATCCACTCATCCATTCATCCATCCACTCATCCATTCATCCATCCATCATCCATTCATCCATCCATCAT